AATGCAAATAAATAAATAAAAATCCAGGTTTGGGGCCCTCTCGAGGCTCCATGTGCCTTGCTGTCAGCAGCACATCGTGACCAAAACCTCACCACCCCTTCTGAAGATGAACAGACTGTGCTTTAGGGCAGGGGTCTTCAAACGTGGCCCTTTTAAGACTTGTGGACTTCAACTCCCAGAATTCCTCAGCCAGGCACGCTGGCTGAGGAATTCTGGGAGTTGAAGTCCACAAGTCACAAAAGGGCCAAGTTTGAAGACCCCCTGCTTTAGGGCTTTGCAGCTCCGAGGGCTTTGAGACCATCCCTTAATATTGTTCATTTCCCCTCACCCCACCCCCCTCTTCCATCAGGACAGCCTTTAACAACAACGTCCACTCCGCCTACGGTGCCCTCGGTGCCGGGGCCAAGGACAAGAAAGCCGGCGTGGACGGGAAGACCTACAGCGAGCTGCTGCGACTACTGTGCCAAGACCAGGGGGCCTCGGACGAGACCTTGCAGCCCCTCCTGCAGAAGGTCTCGTGCCGGGACCACGAAGCGGTGCCCTTCGACATCTTCCGCTACGGGGTCCTCACCTGCCTGATCCTTCTGGAGTTCCTGGCCAAGGCCGATGGCCTTTACGACGCCCTCGACAATGGCTCGGGCGCCGCCGACAAAAGGGTCTGCACGGCCGTGCTGGGCACGCTGGAGGATGCTCTCCACCTCGCCGACGTCTCTCCTCCCATCCGTTGCTTGGAGGCTGGATCCAAGCTCAGGCCGGACTGCTTGGCTATGGCTATGGACCGGGCGCTGTTGGAGAGGAAGGCCAGCGCGGCCATGAAGAAGGACGAGTTTCTCAAGAGGGCTTCGTCCATCTTTGTGACAAAAGTGAAGTCGATTCACTAAGAGGTGTGATTCCCTCAACTTTCCTGAGCGGCAGAAGTCTGCGATGCTACGGGGTGCAATTGGACACTGGCTTGGTCTGCTTTGGGGGTGCAGGCAAGGAGGAGAATGGCTTTTGTTTCTACTATTCAGCAAGGCTGCTCCCCTCTAAGGCAGGGGTGGGGAGCTGTGGCCCCTTTAAGGCCCGGTGGACTTCGACTTCCATGGCTGGCTGGGGAATTCTGGGAGTCAAAGTCCACCGGTCCTTAAAGGGGCCATAGCTCCCTATCCCTATTCTGTATGCCCAAAGTCTGAACCCCCCCCTCTTGTTATTTGTTTACTTATTTATTACGGGTTCTTATTTATTTACTTGTTCACTTCCTGATTAGATGCCCTTCAAGAGCTCAAGGCAACAGCTGGAGCACTGCCTCCTCCACCGTGACAATTTCATAAGGTCGATTAGGCCAGGAGAGACACAGGCTGGCCCAGTCACCCAGGGAGCTGATGAAGATTAAGGGGGTTCTTTTCCAGCAGGGACGTCCCCCCCCAAGTCCTTGGGCATTCACAGTCTGGGGGTGTTTGAGCCTAGGATTAGGTCTGCGTATCCTGGCATAGGAGGAAGGAGCAATGGACCGGGACGGGCAGAGGCGGGTATGATGGGACCCTGGGAGCGGCCTTCATTTGGAACGTCAGCTTCACTGCCTGAAAGCATTGTCCATTGTTCAGCCTTCGACTTTTCCCCTCGGCCCTTGGCGGTGGCATCCTCCGCGGCCCTCGGCTGTGTCTGCTGCTTTGGAACGCCCCGCTGGTGTGCATGAAGGCTGCCCTCTTTTGAGAATATTTTCGCGGACTAGGCCAGAGATGTCCAGCCTTGGCAACTTTAAGCCTTGTGGACTTCAACTCCCAGAATTCCACAGCCATCCTGCATTCCCTAGCATTCTGCGAGTTGAAGTCCACAAAGTCATAAAAGGGCCAAGTTTGAAGACCCCCTGTTGTAGGCTCTTAGGCTCTGCCACATATAACTGGATGTGAGACCCACTGATTGAAGTCCGGTTCTATGGAACAGTTGGGATTATTGCTGGTGAACCACTCTCCTTGCGACCCAGCATTGTCTCTACCTGGGCTGCTGGTTTCCGTTGCCAGGCTGCTAGTAAAGTCCCTGGGGCTGTTGGTACTTAGGGGTTGTAGTCTTCCACCTGGTGACATTGAGCGAAGAGCCACGCTGGACTTGGTGGCCTCCATAGCAACCATGGATCTGTCCCAAGTGATCCCTGGCCCGACACATCTGGATGGCTGCACATTGGGTCTTGTTTTTGTCTCCGGGCAGTTGTGACATCATCTGGTGGTGGAGGACATGAACATCAATTCCATTCCAGGGACAGTTCATTTTCTGGTTAGGTTTTTGGCTCACCGGCGTCCCTTTCCCCTGCAGGAAAAAAGTCACTCTGGTCCACTTCAAGCAAGTGACGGACTCTATAGGGCAGGGGTGTCCAACCTTGCCAACTTTAAGACCCATGGCTGGCTGGGGAATTCTGGGAGTGGAAGTCCACAGATCTTAAAGTTGCCTGCTATAGGGTTTTCCTCAAGGATCTGGTGGGCAATTCGAACTAGGCCAGTGGTTCTCAACCTTTTTAATGCCACGACCCCCAACCGGTCGTAAGTCGAGGACTAAACCAGTCGTAAGTCGACGACTAAACCAGTTGTAAGTCGAGGACTACCCAACCGGTCGTAAGTCGAGGACTTTCCCTGCCCGGGAGCGCCGCGCATGCGTGGTTCCGCCCCTTGCGCCGGCCGAGGCGTAGCTGGCAAGCGGCAGAGACGGAGCAGGCCGACCACCAGCTGGCCCAGCTCAAGGGAGGTAAGGCACCCGCCGGAAAAGGGAAAAAAAATGGCGGACAGCCTTGCTTGGCGACCCCCGTGAAATGGTCGATCGACCCCAAATGGGGTCGCGACCCATAGGTTGAGAACCGCTGGCCTAGGCCCTAGTTGCCATCTGAATTGGGCAGACGTTTGAGCTTTGGACTATATTGTCCCTATGCAGCTTCTCCTCTGTGGAGATTACACCTTGGTTTTCTGAGGAGCTAGACATAGAATGATAGAGTAGGAAGGGACCTGGGAGGTCTTCTAGTCCAACTCTCTGCTCAAGCAGGAGGCCCCCTATTTCAGACCAATGGCTGTCCAGTTTCTTTTTGAAGGCCTCCAGTGAGGGAGCACTCACAACTTCTGAAGGCAAGCTGTTCCATTGGTTAGTTGCTCTCACCGTTAGGAAATCCCAGAACGTGCCAGAAGAAGAGATTCCTGGAGTGCTATTGGAAGAAGACTCGGAGTGAGCCTGATTAAACCTAGATAAGGGCCCATATTAGGGACTCCCTTGTGGGTGGAGAAACCTCAGTACTTCTCCGTCTTTACTGCATCCACAGATAACCATCCAGTAGCTCTGCTTAGGATGTCCTGGTCCCTACTTGGATCAGGACAGGCCAGAGGACCATCTGCTGGACTGTGAGAAATATTCTAGCTAACCGGTAGATAAAGTCACTCAGATCTGCCTCAAGGCTGAGGCGCTTGAAGCTCGATCTTCTGGGTGTGAACTGAGAAGAGTCTGAGCTGTTGATTCCCGAGGAAATGGACAGGATTCTCTGTGGTGTTACCTCAACCACCCGTCTGCTGGCTCTGGCGTCCCTTGGGTCTTGAAAGGGGCAGGGAGGTTGGGACCTCGCTGTAGTGTTTTTCACACTGACGGAAGGGGTAGCGCCTCTGACCTTGAAAGACATGGTG